TGTCTGCACTATGGTTTATTGGCTGGCGGGTCTGTACCGTACAATGTACTGGGTTCTGGGATAATTGCTATAGGAGTTATTTATTTGAGTTTTCTAAGTTCTATGAACATGGGGGCTGTTAATATTATATTGTGTGTCCTACTGAGTCTTTTGAAAAAGTGGCAGACACAACAAATTTTGGGTTGGGTCACTTTGCTTAAAGAATGAAATCCATTCTAATGACAGCTTAGGCAGCACCTTCTTGAAAAGACCCAGGCTTCTGACTGAGATCCTTTTGTCTAAAATAGGGCAGGTCAAGAAATTAGGGAGGGCAGAATTTTGGCTTTAAATTCTGTTGGCTTTTCATTTAGGTGACTTCATATTTGGACTTTTAATTCTCCCTTGAAATTTAGTCATTGTAGGGTATTTTATCAACACTTGCAACATTTTTGTATTGCTGACATTTTCTATTTGGAATATTCTATGCCATTATTTGGGCTCATTACAAAATACAATGTCTTTCAAACTTTTATCTTAAATTATGACACAAAGCAGGGAAATGCATTATATATCATGGCCCTATAACTGAAGCACATTTTTTACAAGATGAACACATCTCAGCTGCAATCCCCCAAAAGCAGAGCCTGTGACCAAGGCTTGTGAGTAGGCAGTTTACTGGGAAAGTGACAGTAGGGAGCAGGAGTGAGTAGCAAGAGGAAGCAAAACAGAGAAGACAGACAAGCCAACACAGGCATGTGTGACTGAATTCACCACTGCCATGGCAACTGCAGCTCAATTCCACGAGACCTTCTAAGAAGCTCATGGAATGGAGCTCAGAACTGTCTCTTTGGGGGATGCAAGGGGGACGTGTTTATTCACTGACATCTGTCCCATGCTGGGCTCTGGGGTGGTTCTATGGGTGTTAACCCCCCTCCTTCCAGAGTGCACTACAAGTGGCACCTGCATGAATCTGGTCAAAGCTTTCATGGAACTGTTCGGGGCATCAGTAGCTGGAGTAAGAGGTCAAACAGACAGGGTATGAAGTAGTCACAAGAGGAGTTCAATCAAAGTATTTACCCTTACCACATGCAATGCATTCTGATATACTCTATTCTACTCTAGTTTACCTCACACATACACATACAATATCTAATTGACACCCACTAACTAGTGGTTCTCAAAGTCTGGGGTCCAGACACCCTATCTCAGGGGGTCTATGAAGTCAAAACAATTTTCATAATAATACTAAGATATTATTTGTCTTTTTCATTCTCATTCTTTCAGGAGTATGCAGTGGAGTTTTCCAGAGGCTTTGTGATGTGTGATAATATAACAGATTGAATGAAGAAGCAGATATGAAACCCAGCTGTCTTCCATTCAGCCAGACATTAAAGAGATTTGCAGAAATGTAAAACAATTCTAATAGTCTCACTAAATTTGTTTTGGAAAATATAGTTATTTTTCATAAAATATATATTTATGTTAAATTTCACTGTCTTTTTTTTTTTTTCCTTTTTGTCTTTTTTCGTGTCCGGCAACGGGATCGCAACCCTCGGTGCTGCGCCCGCACCTTGCTCAGCCAGTGAGCGGGAACCGGTCTGTATGTGGGATCCGAACCCTCAGCAGGAGCGCCGCCGCGCTCCTAAGCGGCGCACTGTAGCAGTGCACCACCGGGCCGGCCCTTCACTGTCTTTTTTGATTCAGCTAATTGTTACAGCAATGATTTGGGTTAAATGTTTATGTAACAAAATTTGTTTCTTATAATGTGATAAGAATGTGATCAGTAAAATTAATTTTAAAAATGTAAAGCGTTTATTATTTATAAACAAATATTTAAAAATTTTCTATTTTAATTTCTAAATATAACCCACATAGACAAAATTCTTTGGGGCTCTCATTCTTTATAAGTATAAACGGGTCCAGAGATTAAAATAAAAATGTTGGAGGGCTGAGCCCGTGGCGCACTCGGGAGAGTGCGGTGCTGGGAGCGCAGCAGTGCTCCTGCCGCGGGTTCGGATCCTGTATAGGGATGACCGGTGCGCTCACAGCGCTCACTGGCTGAGCACGGTGCGACCGGTCTCAAAAAAGGACAAAAAAACCCCAAAACAAAACAAAAAAAATCACTGCATAAAACTTATCGTGGTTCACAAAAGAATTGCAGCCTATAGTTTGAAAACACTGGCATAATCTTTTATGAGCTTTAAGGACAACGTGTCTGGAAAACAAAATGAAAAGTTAATTTGAGGTTTAAAGTGCAGGGCAGTACTACAGCTAATTAAGGTTCAATTCTGATCCATTTCAGAACCTTCTTAGGCCCATCACTGGTCCTAGGGGAAGACAAGAGAATATGCTGATATGAGTATGAGTCTCACAAAGGTGGAAAGAAGACTGCTCTGATAATTGCTGGCTTTCTGTTCCAAAGTGGACAGCCACTGCCCTGCCTGACCATATGCTCAGTGAAGTCCAACCAGGTAAGGTAGTCGTTCTCAACCCTTGCTGCATATTAGAAGTGTCTGGAAGACACTAAAAAATTACCCCTGCCTGAGCCCCACTCCAGACCAATGAATCAAAGTTCGGAGGGATGGGCCGGCCCAGTGGCGCACTGGATGGTGCGCCGCTTGGGAAGTGCGGCAGCGCTCCCGCCCGAGGGTTCGGATCCCACATGCAGACCGGTTCCCGCTCACCGGCTGAGCGAGGCGCAGGAGCATCACCGAGGGTTGCAATCCTGTTGCCGGTCCCCGGTCCAGTGCAGGGGCAACACTGAGGGTTGCGATCCGTTGCCGGACCCGGAAAAAGACAAAAGAAAAAAAAAAAAAAAAAAAAGTTCGGAGGGAGCCACCATTTTTTTTTCCTTTTTATTCAGGAGCACAAATCTTAATGATATGTCTGTAATTTTTTTAAAAACACGTATTACACCCAACTAATCACCACCCAGATCAAGATGTAGGGTACTTCCAACTCACCATTAGGCTACTTCATGCTCCCTCCTAGTTAATACCCTTCCTCCAAAGGTAACCACTATTCTAACATTTACTACCATGGATTGATTTTTCCTGGTTTTGAACTTCATATAAATGGAATTATACATTATGTATTCTTTTATGTCTGTTTCTTTTTTGCCCAACATCATGTCTATGATATTCATTCCTGTTGTTAGGCATAGCAGTAATTCATTCTTGTTTGCATGGCTGTGTAGAATTTCATTGTATACACAGAGCACAATTTATTTACTTACCATTCTGTACTTGATGGAGTTGGCTTGTTCCCTTAAACTGCTCCTTAAGTGTGGTGACATGTTCTCACCATAAAATAATACAGGAACTGGAACAAACTAGGTAACAGGAACAGTAGATTTGTATCACCCATCTCATGCTTACTGGACAAGGACACGGTTAATGAAATGGAAGTCCTAGTTTTCCCAACTACTTAAAATTATTAGTTTTCTTCTTTTTTCTTTTTTTGCAGAAGGTGTTTTAAATTTGCATAAAGCATGTGACTCTATTCCTGTGTGTAAATATATGCACATGTATGTACCCCAAAGTAAAAGACCAGCCAGACCAGATTTAGGGTATGAAAAGTTAGAGGACCTTGAATACTAAATAAATTTAGATTTGGTCCCACTGGCTAACTGTGAGCATACTCTTGCTAAGTTATATATGGTTTAAAGAAAAATACACCTTATTTCTATCTAAGCTGCTGCTGCTTTTTTTTTTTTTTTTTTTGCAGCTGGCTGGTACAAGGATCAAACCCTGGACCTTGGTGTTATCAGCACCATGCTCTAACCAACTGAGTTAACGGGCCAGCCCCTATTTAAGCTTCTTAATCTTGCATGAGACCCATCCAGTTATTAATACAGGAGTTGCATTCAAACTAATTCATATACTAAATCCTCTTACCCCGTCAACTACACTTCTCCAAATACTGTCCAATTCAATGAAAGGCATGACTATCTTCCCAGTTCCTTAATCCAAAAAAACCTAGGAATGGCCCTTGATCACAATTTGTCAGTCCTGAATACCCTGCGCAATCAGATCCACATACCCAGCCACTTAGCTGTGTCTCCAACAAATGCTGCAAGATTATCCACTCCTCCCAGACTCCACTACCATTCTGGTCTAAGCAGCAATCATTTACTGTCTTGACTAATGTTCTCCTTTCTCCCGTACTCTTGCCCCATTCCCAACTCCCACTCCAAATCTATTCTCCATCCACCTGTTAGTGACTTTTTGAAAACATAAATCAGGCCATGTCACTCCTTTCTCTAAAGGATCCCAATAGCTTGGTACATAAAGTGCCTCAAAGTCATCACACTTACACTTAAATCCACACTTCCTACAGTGGCCTAGAAAGCCCTTCATGATTCAGGTTGGTCTATTCAGGCACGCCTCAGACCACACTCCCCATGCTCAGTACACTCTAGGCCCACAGCTGGTCTTCTCTCTGTTCTCAAAACACATCAAGCTCCTTCTGACCTTACAGTTTTTGCAATCCCTGATTCATACTCAGAAGTTCACCCTGCCCCACCAATCTTTATATAATTGGTTCCATTTCTGCTACTCAAATCTCAACTTCAACTGCCCCTTTCTGAGAGGCCATCCTTGACCACCCAATAAGAAGTCATCCCTTTACCTTCTAGAACATATACTATCTTAATTAATTATAATTCTCTGCATAATACTCATCATAAATAATATTTTGTCTATTTGCTTTTCTCTCTCAACCTGCCTCTAAAACACAAGCTCCTTAAGGGAGAATCTTATCAACACTACTACAACCCCAGTGCCTAGAAAAATACTCAGTGCCTAGAAAAACAGTAAGTACTCACTAAATATTTGTGTCTTAGACTTGAATTTGATGGCACAAATTTTAAATGCACCCCTTCCCCAAATCTAAAAGTTTAAATTCTGGGCCCCTCAGGACAAACAAGAGGAAGGACACAATTGCCCTTTGCAAATTACAATATAAATGCCTCTCTGGAGGAACTTCTGGATTATACTGACACATGTTTTTTAAAAAGTCTATTATATGGAAATGCAATATTTTATTTATTCTGTCCATTAATAACTAATATTTGAAAACACTGACAATATTAATTGAACTTAATATAAGAGAAAATCTATTTACATGTTTTTAATGTCTCAATAAGACAGACAGTCAAAAATTATGGTCAGAATTATGATGTCAAAAACTTATAATAAATAAATGCTTAGTGTTAATATGTCTACATGCAATTCAGTTTTTGGTACAAAGTTCTTTGGTTGCAAGAAAGAACATTTGGTTTACTTCACTAATAGGAATATCTCTTAATGCTGGGATGGCCCCCTCTTGGTGTTTCTTTTGCTGTTGATTTTTAGCATAGTTATCTGTAAGAAAAGAACAAAAAGCTCTGTTTACCCAAGCAATTTTTCTACAGTTTCTGTGGCTGATGGAGACCCACCACATATTTTACTACTTATGTTTGGATAATCACAATTACCATGTGATTGAATCCTTTCTTTAGAAGAAATATCCTAATTAAAATAAAAATGTAAGCAGCAAAGTACTTTTCTCATCTCTAACTTGGAAAGAAATTAATATTTCACTCAACTGTACAATGATGATTAAAGTCCATTTGCACACTTCCCACAGGGACAGAATTATATCCAGGCCCTGAAAATGTATTTAAATCAACACTGCAAAACTATTAAATCATTTAGTGCATATGTTCATACAAACTTAACAACTTCCCCTCTTTGCTCAAATTGTCTATTTGCTATAATTCCAGTCAAGAATGCAGGGACTACAGTAGGTTATCAGTAAGAAATTTAAAAGTACTATAATTGATTTTCAAAATACATTGTATAGGCTCATGAACAAAGGTTTTGAAAAGCTGAAAAATCATACCAGAGAACCTATAAAATACTTCGCTTCCTAGAATCTAAGCAAACTTATGAATCTAATTTATTTTAATCTTTAGACTTGAAAGAAATTTAAAAAATAAAACCATAAAACCATAAAAACATGCTGTAGCCCTTCTATCCACTTAATTGGGATAAGGTATACACAGTGACTCTGAGGAGGATACACTCCCAAGTCCTCCCTCCTGAACAGGTCTGCATGGACCTATTTACCATCCCTTGATCAGCAGTGCCTGTTTCGGATAAAAGAAGTTTCTCTTAGTCAAAGCTGCTAAGGAACATATTATATATACTTGTGGTTTTTATGGGAAAATACACCTATTAACTAGTGCTGTAATTCATCAGAATTTATTTCCTCTGTGAATATACCTAGTGCATACTTACCAGAACTTATTAAAACTTCATATAAAAATTTCCTTTTGTATAATTTTGTATTTATTTCTCCTAGGTTCTTTTTACTGTCCCAACGTGTGTCCTCCAGCCTATTTTTGGTTGCTTTTCTAGACAAAAGTGCTAATACCCCACTCCTCATTCCCCCAGCACTTTCCTTTTATATA